TTTTACCCAGAAGGCAAAGAAGTTTTGAGGCATAAGGAGTATGAATGAGCTTCTCAATCATCTGTTGAGGTACAATGGCACAACAGTTTTAATACAACCACCAGTCTTCACAAAATAATTTTAATACTTTGTGCCCAGGCTAGCAGCATCTTGCATCTGTGACATTCCTATACATACAGAAGCATTTCATCTGAGTACAAATGTTAAAAGCAGAGTAATGTAAGCCATTGCCTATACAGAGGTAAAGAGACACTGTATGTTATTTTTCTTGAATCACTTTTTGCTGCATAGTAAATTGCAATTACATGTCAGTATCATGTTACTGATTGAGAAAACACTTTGAACTGTGAGGTATGGCAGCTCCCTGTGAGAAAGCTTAACATGTAAACCTGAATATTTTGAGTGATTTTTTTTTCTTTAGCTGCCATGAATGGGAAAGACAAAGAATATCCAGCACTCAAGACTCTAGAAACTTATTTTCCTAATTAAAAAATAAATAAATAAAATCCTTGTGTAAGTCTCAGCTATTTCCTATCATTTCCTTATTGGAGTGGTGTTGAATGGACAAAGATAATGTAAATACTGAAGTGAAGCTATGCTTTAGACTCATGGATTAAACCAGTTTAAAAAAAAAATCCGTCAGGTAACTGCTCATTTACTTTACATCAAATTGAGATCCTAATATATACATCTCAACTTCATAATTCAAGATTGCACTTAAAAACTTCTAATTAGTTTGAATTACCATAGTAATTAAACAATTAGGAACCTTATGTTTTCTTACAAAGGACATGCTTAAGCATTTTCTGACATTACTTCTAGACTCAGATTAAGCACAACCCCATACCCCTGCAAATGAATATTCTGCTCTGCTAGTGGTTGAAAGTTCATAGCAAAGCTATCACACTTGAACATTCCTACCACAGTTGGTACAAGTCAACATCTACTAGACAAGAAATTAGCAGGAACCAGTCAAACTAAGAGAAGACCCACCCCCACTCCAAAGTTTCCAGTATCTATCTCAAAACTTTCAAAATGAGGATAATGAAGTTCCCTATGTTTTGATAAAAATGTACTTTTAATTCTGAACCCAGACTACATATTTAGTGTTGAAACTGGGTGGACATTCATTATTCAGTTCTAGAGACTAAGACGTGATTGGTTAAGTTTATCATAGTTGGCTGTTATCAAACATCACTGGAAACGGAACCTAAGACAGCTACTTAGTAAACACAGTGGAAGAAAACAAGAAACTTGCAGGCTTCTTAGGAAAGAAGGAACCTCACTGTTCACATCAACTGTGCTCAACCCGATGGCAGTCTCGAGTGTGTGAGACTATTTCCAGTATATCGTGCTGGATAGGCACTTCACGTGAGAACATAAAAATGACTGGTTAGAAAAATGGAAGATTACCAGCTACAAATGACTATCAATAGCCTACTCTGTATTTTTGGCCAGACTCCTAAAGAGGAGCATATATTTTTATGAAAATTAAGAATATTTCAAATGTCTCATCTTGAAAAGTCATTTTATATGGAGATTACTCTAAGCACAATTTCTGTTCAATGAGTCATAGGTTATGAGTTGACTGCAAGAGAGATCTTCTGTTGACCTGTCCATTGATGGTGTGTACATAGGAAGTTTTGAACGCCGAATGTAATCCTGACTCTACTAGCCCAGCACACCAGTGACACAACAGAATAGTGGATCCCAATGCTGGTTTTAGGGGGGAAAGGTAGGAGATGGGATGCAAACTCCAAAGAGGAAGTAACTCTAGTTAACAGTAACTCTGGTTTATAGTCAGGCTCCCACTGTGCAGGACTGAGCCTTCTCCGTACTGTTACAGTAACTAACTAAGTCTGACAGGCTGCCTGCACAGTGCCTCATGGTACCCTGGAAATGGATAGCTCTCATTCCCAACAAGAAAGCACCTCGAGAGAGGACTGAGAAATGTCAACTATAAAGGAGCTGTGTTTGTGCTACCCTAAAGTCATCAGATACAAAAGGTTAAAAACACTTCTCTCTTCTGCACATCACACTTAAAATAGCAAAATGGGTTTTGTAGAACAACTTTTATACATATAGATAAAAACATGGAAAACTAAAGAGCCATCAAGTTACTTTGCTAATGCAAATTATGGGGTAAGTTTGAACAAATGTAAGAACAAGTCAAAACAGTAATTTACAATACCCTGAAGCCATCCACAAACTGCTTTCTCCAATGGATCTTCTAGGCAAAGCTGTCAGCTGAACAGCCTCACAGAAGCAAGACAACGTGAAACGAAGAAGTAAATGTCTCCTTCCAAATCACCGACTTTCTTCAAGCTTCACAGATTCAGTTTAATTTATGGTTTAAAAACAGATTACAGAAAATGTGAATAGCTTTTCACTGCTCTAGATACTAATTTAGAGGTCATGAGGATTTAATTGTTGATTCAAGGCACTTTTTCTTTTGGGGGTTTCATATTGAAGAAACAGTGCTACATTAGTTTGGTTTCTTAAGAGTCGACTTTGAACCATTTTGGACAAAGGTAAAAAGGGCTGGGCAACTCTGAAAAGACCGAGTCAACTTCTGGCTTAAACAAACAACAAAAAGAAAAAAATGGAGATGGAAATAGAACACTACCCTTATATTTGAGTATCTGGTTTTGGAAGTAAGACCTCTTTCTTTGATCATTACAACTTTTTTTTCTTGTTTAGAATAAGGAAGGCAATTGGAAAGGAAGTATTCACTGGATTAGTAAAGTAGTTGGCAAAAGTCATGATTTAAAAATAAAGGGCTAAGAAATTTCAAAAAATGGTAATTAAGTTACTGAATTATATTAAAAAATGTGAAAGTTCTACATTTTGTTAATGTTTCTGTAAGAGGCTCCATCAGAAAAGTGAACTGTAAAATTACTTTAAATGTAATATATATATAACACAAAATGAGTTTTTAGGAAACATTAGGAAATTTGTTATAAATTATCCAAAATTTATAAACAAGTCCCCCTAACTTGCAGTTTGCTTAAAGTAATAACTTTACATCATACAAATAAATTTCAAGTATGAAAAGTGCATTATTGCAATAATACCTCTTTGCACGTTCAAAATTCTTGGTTTACAATAAAACCGTAAAGTGGTTTTTTTGTTTTGTTTTGTTTGTGTTGTTTGTAAAGTAAACCCATCACCCATCAGCGCCATCTACTGTAGAAGTCCAACATCTTAAGTGTTGCTCAACAAGTTGCAGAGAAACATGTCTGGAAGCAACATATAATTGAAAAGAAACTATCTGTGTTTTTACCACTTTACAATTATCACTAGGATTCTCTCCTGTCCAAATGGAAATTCACATCCGTGGAACAGTCCTCAGAGCTCAGCCATTCTGTGCTGCCGCCACTTGCATGTTTCCAAAATCATCGTCTTCTTCATGTGTTCTCTTCAGACTACCTAATGGTTGCCGAGTGATATAAAATAAAGGGAAAACTTATGTGAGCTCATGTTAAGACTACAGGCAGCAAAAATCTGTTCTTTCACTATGTGATATGTACAAGTGTCACAAAAACTTCATGCTTGAATTTAGGGCAAACTTTAGTCAGTTCTTTATGTTGCATCATAAAGTAAAGTTACATTGGCAACTTAATGTCTTAGGTAATGCTCATAATAAACATCCGTTTTAAAATAGAATGAAAAGTAGAACTTTTCAAGAGTCAGTGGTACATTAAATCTGCTTATCACCAACTTTATGCTGTTGAGGCAACGCGTAATATGTCGTAGGACACCACATCTAGTAGGCTAGTTTGCATTTGTATGATTTTTAGATATAATTTTCTGTTCACATAGTGGCTGTTATGAAGAAAAGCAGTTGAAGATATATTTCTGCTAAAGCTGTGGCTTTCTCATCCAGACTGATGGGTTAGGAGCAAGGAAAGTATATAGCAGATAAAGAGATCTGACTGATTTCCTACACCAGAGACGACTGTACAGAAACATCCCACAAAGAAAGAAAATTATCTCTACATGGCTGCAGTTACATTGAGAAAGGGGTCTCCTGGAGGGAAAGCTGAAGGAAGAGTTAAACTGGCAGTCGGCTGTGCTCTGTGACTAACGACAGCCTGGCTGTAGATTTAGAGTTGTGGTAAATCATAATATAATTCAGAATGCAAATTCTAACCAGGTGTAAATATAGCATCAACAGAGTAAAAGTGGAAAGAAAGTCCTAAAGCTAAATACAGGTGATTGATAGGAGTTTCAGGTGCAGTGATGCACTTCTCCAGGAGTCCCCACTAGGGGTTGGAGAAGAGTGCACTAACCCTGCCTCATTTGAGGAGATGGCATCTAAGCTGTGTGGAAGAACAGAGAAGATGAATCTTACGCACAGCAAGAAAACCACTGCAGGAGACCATCCACTTAGTGTTTTGGAGGGTAGACACTAAGAGGAGCAATGAAACACAAACTGAAAAGCCAGAAGGGCTTTACTACATATGGGAACCTTTGCTACCTGTGGCTCTTCATGAGAACCATTAGATCTCCCAGTCTACACTTCTTCGAGAACAGTCAATGAAGTCTTTGGCAAAACAAAACATCATTACAAGTGAGAAAATAAATTTGACCACAATGTACAGAATATACCAGGATAATCTGGCTCAGAGGCTCGTGTTGACCTAACTAGCCTTTGTTTAAAGTACTATTTGGAAGGAAGTGTGCTTTAAAGATTCTGGCAAACATTACAGTGTTGAAACAGTGATTGGAGGGAGGGTCAAGATTAAAGAGTCAAGGATAACTGGGAAGCTGAGCCCAAGAAAGGAACATCTGGCCTGAATGGTGCATTCTGGACTTGTGCTTCAATGCCAGCTCAACAATAGGCACATAACCTGCTCTAATCTTACAAGAACTGTTACAAATGAGCAGCAAGAACTTGGAAAAGAAGATAAAAGGTTGAGAGTTTGCTTAGACTGTTACCTATGAAATAAGTGGATCAGAGGAGAGAGCAAAGGAGTAGGTGGGT